AAGCGTCATGAGATTTCTCTAGTACAAAAACGTAAACCCGTTCACGTAGAAATAATAGATGGATGACCTTTATTGTCTGGTAGTGTTACCCATGAATCAGAACATATAGAGGTGACGTTTAAAGACCATAGTAGTTATATTATTTTCAATATTATTAGAACCTAGTAAAATCCTATTATTCTTGGTTTTTCTTAGTTAGAAATGCATAATCCATCCATAGATTGGAGGTTATGAAGGATGACATTTCCTATAGAATATTCTGAGAATAAGCATGTTAGAAGATCTCAAATCAAAAAATCCTTATTTATTGGAGCAAGAAGATTTGTAACATCGTCCAAGGAAGGTACATCGTTTGTCATTTATGCGACTCCAACTAACGGAGAGAAGATTTCGATAGCAAATATACTAAAGTAATATAAAAATTTTAAAGACATATTTCAAAAGAAGAATGTCGACATGCTACTGGAGCATCGACCATACGATTGTGCCATAGACTTGCAAGAAAGAGCACAACCACTTTTTGGCCTAATCTACAATTTGTCGCAGAGGGAGTTAGCGGAGTTGAGGAAGTATATTAACAAGAATCTAGCCAAGAACTTCATTTGTCATTCAAAGTCGCCAATTGGAGCACCAATCTTATTTTTGAAGAAGAAAGATGGCTCGCTGCAGATGTGCATGGATTATCGAGGTCTCAACAAGGTGACAAAAAAGAATTGTTATCCATTATCTTTGATATCAAGTCTTCTAGAGCAACTTAGACATACAAGGATCTTTACAAAGATTGATCTAAGGGGAGCTTACAACCTCATGCGAATCAAAGAAGGAGATGAATGGAAGACAACTTTCTATACAAGGTATGGCCATTTTGAATATAATATCATGCCTTTCGATCTTACCAATGCTCCGACGGTCTTTCAACACATGATGAATGATATCTTTCGAGATCAACTTAATGATTTTGTTGTCATCTATCTAAATGATATTTTTGATATTTTCCAAGAACGTAGAAGAGTATGAGAAATACGTTGGTCTGGTCATTGAAAAACTCTACGAGCGAGGACTTTACACCAAGTTGGAGAAGTGCTTGTTTAACCAAACTGAGATAGAATTTTTGGAATTCATTACAACTATGGAAGGCTTGAAGATGGACCCTAAGAAGGTGGAAGCAATCGTATCATAGGAAGATCCAAAGACGATTAAAGATGTAGAATGCTTTCTTGGCTTTGCTAATTTCTATCGGATCTTCATCAAGAATTATTCTCAAGTTGCTACTCTACTCACTCAGTTGACATGTAAAGACAAGCTCAAATGGAGACCTCTAGCAAAAAAAACATTTCAAGATCTCAAGACGGCATTTACTACGGCTTCAAACTTGGTACATCTGGACTTTGCAAAAGCCTTCTATTTGGAGACTGATGCTTCAAATTTTGCTATTGGAGCTCTACTTTTACAGATAGACATAGAGGAAAAGCTTCATCTGGTTGCGTTCTACTCTCGAAAGTTTTCTGCTATCGAGATTAAGTATGAAATCCAGGATAAAAAACCTCTTACGATATTAGATTCTTTTCAAGAATGATGCCACTTTCTCGAAGGAGCTGCGCATCCGGTGACTGTATACACGGATCACAAGAATTTAGAGTACTTCATATCAACTGAGGTTCTGAATCATTGTCAAGCTCGATGGAATATATTGCTATTCAAGTTTGACTTTGTTATTACTTATCGACTTGGGAAGCAATAAGGACTATCCAATGCATTATCAAGGAGATCGTATCTAGTGCCAAATGCTCGAGAAGCAACGTTTGATCAACAGTGTACAATATTGTTGAAGTCGGAACAATTCAAGCTTTGCTCTATTATAGTGCCAATTGATGCTAACTTCTTCAATCAGGTACGTACTATGACTATTGGAGATTTTGTAGCCCTCGATATCATGCAACGTGTCAATAATGATAAGTTCAAGGTAGAAGGAGATCTTTTATACTTTGAGGAGCGGTTGTATATTCCAAAGGTACCAGCACGACTCTGAGTTCTCTAACCTTGAGACAACTTTCCAGCTGCAAGATATTTTAGATTCAATAAGACCTTTGAACTTATTTCTCGAGATTTTTGGTGGCTCCAAATATAGAAGGATGTCAAGGATTTTGACCTCTCCTATGATATGTGTTCAAGATCCAAGAATCCTCGACATCGTCCTTATGGTCTTCTTCAGCTATTACCTATTCTATATCGGCCATGGTCTTCAGTTTCCATAGACTTCATTATGGACCTGCCACCATCGAATACATTTGACAGCATCTTTATTGTGGTAGATCGGCTTACAAAGATGGCATACTTTGTCCCTTACAAGAAAACATCATCAAGCAAAGACACAGCAAGACTCTTCCTTGATAGTATGTATCAATATCATGGTTTATCAGATGATATCGTGTCGGATCGAGGAACCCAATTCGTATCAAAGTTCTGGAGATCTCTCTTTGAGATATTGAAGGTAGATATCAAGCTTTCTTCAGCTTTCCATCCTCAAACTGACGGCCAAACGGAACGAGTGAATCAAACTTTGGAGCAATATTTATGATGCAGCATCAACTATCAGCAAGATGATTGGACTGCATATCTATCGTTAGCCGAGTTTACATATAACAACACCCTTCATGTGTCGACTCAACAAACACCATTCTTTTTCAACTATGGGTATCATCCGAAGCTTGATTTGTTGAGTTCATCAACCAATAACAACCCGGCAACTGAAGGATTTGTGAAACAACTATTAGAGCTTCAAACTACGTTGAAGCTTCAATTGCAAACCGCCCAAGTAGCTTACTAACCATCCGTAGACAAATTTCAGAATCAAGCACCTACTTTCAAAATTCGAAATAAAATATGGCTGCTTCGACGAAATATCAAAACCAAGCGGTTATGTGATAAGTTGGACTATTAGAGATTGGGACCATTTATCATCCAAAAGCAAATCAATCCAGTGGCGTACCATCTAAGATTACCAGCTGCTGTGAAGGTACACCCAATCTTTTATGTTTTTTTGTTGGAGCCTTATCGAGAGTCATCTTTTTCTGAAAGAGTGTAATGTCTACCACCTAGTATTGAAATTGAAAACCACGAGGAATACGAGGTGGAAAAGATACTAGATTCACAGCGTAAGTGGAAAAAATTAGAGTATCTCATGCATTGGAGCGGCTATGATATCAATGAACTCGCATGGAAACCAGCGGAAAATCTTATCAATACATCGCAAAAGATACAGGAGTTTCATCGATGATATCTTTAGAAACCTAAGTCCTTTCGATGAAAGTTTTTCAGTGAAGTCCCTTCTCCTTGAAGCCTCTTAATCCTCGGCCTCACAAAGAAGGAGGAGAAGGAACCTCTAAATGACATAGTTAGAGACTATAAATCTGTAATTTGAGTCCATTCTTCCATGTTTAGTGCTTGTTTTTTCAGTCTGATATGGATAGCCAAGAGATAGATATCATACCAGTCATGTCTTCTCAACTGAGTATCTCATGAAGACGACCTCGAGATAAAGAACTGCTTGTACTAAGAAGACGATGGAAGATATAACAAGTTGCTAATGATTGTTTTTGAGGTAGAACCTACCTATGGTGATCTTCTTGAAGGAGTGTTTGTAGGGCATTTTCACAATGAAGACATGAAAGTTCATGCCTGGTTGGAAATCGAAGGCATAGGACACTATCGTTGGTTACAAGGACCAATGAACTACTTGCCGCGCAAACAACAATTGAAGTATATTGCAGACACTATGTGACAAATTTTCAACTTCTTACGTTAGTACTGACTCTCAATAGGAATACCTTCTCGCAAACCTCAAAGCTAAAAGGGGGGGTGATATGAAGGACATACACTAGAAAGTTGTAGAAGATTCTAGAAGGTTCTAGAGAAGCTTTGTAGTTTGTAGAAGCTGCTTGAAAAGCTTCCTAGCTTATGGAAGCTGCTTGAGAAGCTTCTTAGTTTGTGGAAGCTACTTGAGAAGCTTCCTAGCTTATAGTATATATAGGAGCCAAGATTGAAGGGATCCTCAATCTTGGCAACACACCTCTTGGAACTCTACTTCATCTCTCTAATATTATTCTTGTACTCATTTGATTAATCTAGTTCTTGCTGATTCTTCTTGAGCTTCTTGTTTAGATTTCCAGTCAATATTTTAAATTCGTGACATTGTCTCATTTCTCTTCTCTACATCGTCTGAGTCCATACTGTGATCAAACTAACAAATACAACAACAATGTCATAGACTTTCAAGTTTCCAACAAAACTTAGCAACGTTCTCACTCAATCAATTTGAAGACGAAAGTTCTTCACGCCCCTATCAAATTATGCACAAAGGTCGCAAATCTATAAGGCAACGAAATTAAGAAGGTCGAGTTGCATGCATCCCTATCATGTGACAGAAATAGAGCAGCCACAAAACCTCCATCCTCAAGTAATAACCAACAGGAAAGTCATATGTATTCTACAATTAAGTCAGGCTACAAACCAATTTAGAGCAGAATTACTTGTACAGAATTCACCCATGGCAAATTCTCGACAAAAGACAATGGCTCCAACATTTCTTCACGAGAATACAGAGAAATCTTTTGATGGTTCACACTACTGCCGCAAAAAAATGTAAGAAACATTTGAAGAAAAACTAACACTCCTGTGCCCACACCACCACCGACCAACAGAAATCCTCTCCGTACAACGGTCGTAAGAGTGATCCCCTTGAACGGAACCAGCCTAGAGTAGCACCAGAGGCCCCCTTGGTGGCACTGACTGCAGGACGGCTTCATAAATCCGCCGCGACCGACGATCGTAGATAGTAACAAGTTAGCGGTGTTCATCAGGATCATCTATCCACTTATACATTCATTCATATATGAATGATAATCATCAAAATGGACGGAGAAGCACCGTATTATTTTATCTGTCGGTTGAGGTGTGGCGATGAGCTTGGCATCGCTCACGCGTGGTTATGGTGGATCCAAGTGGACAGCACTGTCCTCTCCCATTTGCAATTTGAGCTTTTCGAAGGATGAGCCTCACGGAGAGTCATGGCTTCGAACTCACGGGAACTGATGAGCCTGAATCTGTTCGATTGTTGAGGTGTGAGATTTCAAACCCAGCCCGCCAGGTTGCTCCTTGGGAGTCGAATGTGAAGCATTTGAGCTTTTCTGTTTTAAGTCTTAGGAATTGTGTCAATGGCGCTCGTTTGATGAGAAACGGCAGCCGTGAGGACGTCGTTGCTATTTCAAGAGCGCTCAACTGCACGACACATCATCTCGGAAGAAATAGACTGTGCTAGAATTCCTGTTATCATGGCGGCGTCCACTGGCGCATTCTGTAGCTTGAGACCTTCAAATTCTGGTCTCACTCTTCACAGTCTTGGCAGTAGCAGTCGAGTGCTCTTGTTGCAGAGGTCCTTAGCTCAATTCAGCGACGCCAACGAGTTAGCGTCTAGTCGTCATTGTGGGTTAATGGATACGCGGCTTGCATGGATAACATGTCACCTGCCAGAAAGTAGTCTCTTATGTAGGACAGGGAGGACCATACCGAGTGGTGGTCAGAGCTTTAGGGCACATGTGTGCACTGTGTGTGCACAATCAGAGCACTGCCATACAATGCAGGGGCGATGTCCCTGGAAGTCGTCTGTTGCGAGACTTAGAAGGAACCAAGAATCTGTCATTGCAAGAGCCACTTTCAATGTTGCTTACGAATTTGAAGATGCCTTCAGTGCTTTTGCCTTACCCCAGGCTCCGGATCCCGTGTTGTATCCTCGCAAGATGTTGAACCTAAAATTTGCCGTTCTATTGATGCGGTCAGCATACGAGGCTGTGGACGCCTTGGATTTCATTCCTATGGACAAGTTTCAAGTGAAAGTAAGGTTCCCTTTTCCTCTGAGAAAAGTTGGCATATCATCTTCGTCAAAATGGTGCAGTAAAGCGTACAATGCAGAAAAGACTGCTTACAGTTCAAATGTTTATTTGGTTCACATCGAATTTGACCTTAAACCTTTAATTGTGCAGTTTTGGAAGCTGCGGCAGAGCGAATTGGAGCCTTACACTTTGCAATGTCGACCTCTTCGAGTGAAATACGGAGATCTCACTGATCCTGTTTGTGCCCTACCTCCTCTCTCTTTCGGTCCGTCATCATCCCTACCATTCTGGTTACTGCCCTCCCATCTGTAAAATTGTTCGCCCATACAACACCCTGAACACTACCGAAACTCCCATGGAGAGCAGACCATCACATCTCCTAGCTATGTCCAGTTTCAAAGTTCACTGTCCGGAAATGTAGTCGCTTCATCTAAATCCTGCGCCCATGTCAATATCTGAACTCGTCTTTAATTAGTGCATTGTGTGTATGAGGCACAGAATTTAACCGAGACAATTCACCTTGCCGTTTGTCTCGCTCGGAGACTTAAGCCTCCGCGAAGCATTGCTTATATCTTCTTTTGTCGTCTGCTTTGTCTGATTGTAAAGCTTGTACCTAGAAGACGATTCCAATCTAGAAACTGTCGAAGCAGTAGTAATCAGACAATCATGCCAACGCCTAATATTTGGGAATTTGCATTCTAGTTGGCTGGGATATCCGGGTGCGTGTCAATCAGCTTACACCGCACACTTATTTTGCAGTTGTACTTTGATTTCATCAGCTTCTCGCAGTTTGCGGCAATCTCGAACGAAATAAAGACCGGGGAGCTCGTCTTTCAGGTATTCTACTTTTCACATAACATTCTATGCCCACGTCTGTGTATGTTTCTCTAGTATTTTCACGTTCATTTCAATGCTACACTGCCACTAAGAAAAGGTGCTGGATTTCTACTCTTGGAGATACGATCTACATGCCACGTACCCCTAGGCATCCTGTAATCAGGGGAAAATATACCCATCAATCTTCACGCACTGGTGATTGTGATCCCTTTGCAGGAGAAGATAGGGTCAGATGGGGAGTCTCGCACCGTGAGAAGGGACGAGCGGCTGAAAGATAATGCTGCGTTACCAGCAGCCTTCGTCAATAAAGCAGGGGACTTGCTGTATGGAAAGTTAGTGGATGGCTTTGAAGGCGAAAACTTTAATGCGCCTCCTCCGGCTTCATCAGACTTTTTAGCGGTAAGCTCTTGACTTCCTGGCACTTAATGATGTCTGCCATTCGCTCGCTTGTCGGATGTTTCACCTACCTCTCTCATTCCATTTTATTCTTTGAAATCCCAATCAATAAGATAAGTGTCGCGACAAAGTCTAGGATCAGCATAAAATCGTAGGATCCTCATGCTATGCCATTCAATTTTCCTTCACATCAAAGAGGTTCTTCTCTTCGTTCCCAATATAGGAGGTACAAGGTGACGTTAACATTCCGATCGGTGTTCAAAGAATCTTCTTTCTAACTCCAGATAATTGCAATTCTACAGGTCACGGATGGCGTGAAGAAACTTGTGCAAGTATTTGTAGACAAAGGATATGCCCTGAAGGCAAGCGTGGAACCTGTGCAATTCTCACCTAATAGCACAGGAGGCAAACTAAGAGTAAGCTTGTTAAATTGAACCCGTCGAATTCACTCAGCATGTTTCTCTTCAAGCACTTAAAACGTTGTTCAATAACGATCAACACACATCCAGATCAACTTAAAAGCTCACCTTCTTGCTATCAGTCATAGTGAATGCACGGGAAACTTACGTCACTGTAAGAAAACAATCACGGCCAGCTCAGCATCCGTTTTCATATTACAGAAGTATGTTCATCATCAATTCTACATCACATAAACCTGGTCCTTCCATTTGCTTCTAGATCTGAGACTCCGGTAACATTGACGCAGGTAAAGTTGGAGGGAAGTGCCACACAATGGGGGTTGCGCGCCCTTGCCAGTCGACGTGCACTATTAGTAAACGACTTCACAGGATTGGCAGTAGGGGCATATCTGAGGGCGTGCGGTTTTTCAGCCTATGAGAAGATACGGTATAGCGACACTTCTACCGAGCAGCTTTGGACGATTGTATGAGCAAAGGGTGGTCTCGGGTGAGAATGTTGCGCACCCATCCCCCTGGTTGGATGTGACAGAGCCCTCTCACGTAGTTGGTTAGCGTAAGAAGTGAACATCGAGCTGTGAGACGTAGCAGGACGTAGCAGGGCGAGAGAGCGAGGTTCCGTGACGCACTCAATGGTGGTCCGACCTGAAGTAAGTGATTGAGTTAGGGCGATTGAGTTACAATGATGAATTGAGCAAATAAAAAGGTCACTCGTGACCATGTTGAGGAGGATGCACAATTTGCCGCATCTGCTAGGGCTAGTGTGAGTGCCAATTTCCAGTCAGGGGGTGGGGCGTGTCAGAATAAGGAAGATTTGTGAAACGTAATACCAATTACCAAATGTCTAAGGATATTTACCAAACATAATACCAATTACCATCTGTCTTATGGAGTCAGGATTTGATGAAGCTCAGTGTCATTTTCATTTCTGGCTTCCTTCTTTTGCACAATCTTGAATGTGACGTTGAATTCCTTGGCCATGTCCAGCGATTGCAACAAGAAGATCATAACGATGGAGCAGACAAACATAGGAATCGGTCCAAAAATCCAAAGCAACAAGGGGAAGGAGAAGTAGTAGCCTCGCAAGCCAAGTGTAAAGAAGTTC